ATCACAGCCTGGCCTGTGGCTCCCAGGGAAGCGGTGTGACAACCACCACCCTAGCTCTCTCAGTTCAGACACCCGGTGCCCCACGGTCCCGGGGACATGGCCTTGAGGGCCCCCTTGGAGGACAAGGTGTCTATTCAGCCACTGGGCTCCCTAAGGGGCCTGGACAGCAGACTGGCCTGGCTGGCTGAAGCCGGAGTGCCTATGGCCAGGCCTCTTGTGCCCCCAGCTGGCCAGCTGGGCGCTTGAGCGACAGGCCTGACCTGGCTGAGGGCTGGGTCCAGGCGCCACTGGGGTTGGAGTCAAGGCTGTGGGAAGGTGGGGAGCCTCCTCCCGGCCCTGGTGCCTCCGTGGGGTCCCAGCGGCGCCCGGCCTCACCCTCCCGCACCCAGGTCTGCAGTCAGGCCTGATCCCAGCCGGCCCGGCCTGTTGGGGGGTGGGGGACTGCAAGCCTGTGCAGGGGGAGGGCCGGCACCGTGGCCGGGACCACGCTGGCGCAGTGTGGAGCTGGCCTGGCGTGGCCGCCGAGCCAGGCGCCGGCCTCACGGCGGAGGGGGCGTCGGGGCGTCTGTGAGGCGAGCGAGACACTGCTGGGCTCACGTTACAGTTTCCACTGGAAACAGCCCTGCTCTGAGCATTGGCTCGGCTTTTAAAAGTTGCAAATAGACCCGTTTCCTGAGGAGCGCATGCTGAGTGCAGTGGTCGCTGCTGCGCAGCACGGGTGCCTGCCCAGCTGGGGCGGCAGGCCGGGCAGGGGAGGCGGGGAAACCGAGGCTGCTGTGGCCTGGGGTTCGAGGAAGCTGTCACAGCGGGGCCCTCTGTCCCGGGTGGCCACCCACCCAACCAGTAGCAGGCAGGCGCCCCAGGCCCCATCGCCATGGGCCACGGTGGCTGAACCCCCAAACCCTGAGACCGGGGAGCCCCGCCCATCCGAGACCCTGCCTCCAGCGGCTGCTCCGAGTCCCGTGTGCATGCCGCACACGCAGCACGGCTGGGTGTCACACGCATCACGGCCGGACATCCCCGCCCGGATGAGGCTGCACCAGCGGGAAGGGGGACCCAGGCCGCCCAGCTCTCGGGTGCTGCCGTTGCGTGTGGGGGGGCTGGGTGTGCACACACGTGGGGATGTGTGCAGAGCGCATGCAGGCCGAGTGCACACACGTGCCCATGCATGTGTGAGCATGTACATGGTATGAGTTTGGGCATGTTGCTCGCCTCCCCCACGTTCAGGGTCAGGTCTCTGGGGAGGGTTTGAGGTCGGGGGCTTGCTCTGCCTGTGGGCCGGGGTGGGCTCCGGTGTCCCCCGGGGGGGTGCACCTGGGGGGGCAGAAGTCTGCCGCCCTGACCCCCGAGGGCCTGTGTCAGGCGCCCGCTAGCCTGTTTTCTTTGGAAGACGGCGGGCATTCCTGGGGCTGTGCGGCTGACACGCCAGATGACAACGGTGCCCACTGGGTAAGTGGGACCCCCGCCCGCCCCGGCCGTGTTCCCAGGCTCACGGAAGGCCCTTTCTGGTGCCAAAAACATCTGGAAACGCTTCCAAGGACCGGATTCGAGCTCCTCGCACTTGGAAGCTGGCCACCCCGGGTGGGATGGGGCGGCTGGCGGCTCCCAGCCCGTGCCCTGGCCTCTGCCCCGCCCACCAGGGGTGCCCCTGGCTCAGGGGCGACTCTGGGACCTTGGCTCCCAGTGGAGGCTTCTCACAGCAGGAGCTGGAGATGGTTCCAGAAGGTCCGGCACCAGCCCGTTCCGTTTCTCAGCCCCGGGTGGGGGAGGGGCTCTTCCTCTGACACCTGGTCTTGTCGCACGTCCTGGTGAAGAGTAGTCCTGCGGGGGGTGCTGGGCGCCACGGCGACCCCGGCTACCTCCCCTCCTGAGGCTCCCGCTGGGAGCAGGGCCCGGGCGGGTGATGCTCCGTGAGCCTCAGAGCGCGAGGAGACTGGCCTGTGACGGCACCGCCCGCGGCAGGCCGGCACCGGCAGGATCCGCAGAGCACACAGACCCTAGGTCCCCTGCACCCAGCTCGGCGCCCCCCAGGGCCCCGTTGTTCACCAGGAGCCTTGGCCCAGGAAAGTCCTGAGACAAGTCCCTCTTCTGCCAAATTTAGGTTTGAGACTTAAGCGCGCAGAACAGAAGCAGCAGGTGAGATGGAGTCGGGCACAGGCACAGGGAGTGCAGGGAGGTCTCAGCGGGGACGGACGGTGGTGGCCCCGTCTGCCTGGGGAAGACGCCAGACCAGGGGTGCCCACCGACTCCACGGACTCCGGCGGGTCCTCGCCCGCCAGGCTCACCGTCACCCCCGACGCCCCCAGGGAGGACCAGGACGAGCGCCCGGGTGCAGGGGGGCGGGTCTGGAGGGTCCCAAAGGTGCTGGGCTGGGCCGGAGCCGTCACGCGGGCGCAGGGCGTGTGGCTGGAGCGTGTCCCCAGGGGCCAGGACAGGCCTCCGCGTCCCCTGCCACGCCTGGACACCAAGGGCAGTGGGCAGGCGGTCCTGGGAGGGCAGGCCACACAGGAAGCAGGGGCTGGCGTGGCTTTGGGCCTCAGTTTCCCTGGCTGCGGCCAGCAGCCTGCACATGCCGCCCCCACGCCCCACCTACTCGGCCTCGGTCTGGGTTTGGTGTGGCTGTGACTCCTGCCGCTGCCCCGGCTGAGTCGGCCACCTGTGGGGGCTCCGGCTGCCCTGGGACGGAGGAATCGGGGCGGGGGGCCACGTCACAGCGCTTCCACTGTGGAGGGTTTGCGAGGTTCCCAGAGGCCTGGGGGCACACTCCAGGCAACCTGGCTGTCGATCTCCACTGAGACACCGGCCGCAGAACCCCACTGCCGGTGCCCCCCTCACCACTCAGACCCCTGGACCAGATCCGAGGGAGCCCCCCTCCACCGCACCCCTAGAGACCTGGAGGCACGGTGCGGCGCGGCCCCTCCTGCGCGGTGAGGCGCCGGGGCTCGGGGACAGGGAACCACTCACGAGGAATCTGAGGAATTTCCTCGGTCTGAAAGGCCCTCCTTCAGAGACCCCTCCCTGCCCCGCGGCGGGGGGGGGGGGGTGAGGGCGCCTCTGTGCTGAGCTGCGGTGGGAGTGCGCCCGCCCGGCTGTGGCTGTGCTCCTCTGGAGGGGTCAGGGGACTCGGGGCTGGGGTTGGTGGCCACTCCGAGCACCGGGCGTCCTGCGGGGTCAGCAGGGGCAGCTGCAGAGCCCAGACCCGCTGTCCTCGGCCGCTCTCGGTCCCACTGGTGTCAGCCCTGGGACCCTCCGTCCTGGGACCCCTGGCGCCCCAACCCTCCCGCCCTGCCCTGCTGGCTCCCTCAGGTGGAGGAACCCCGGCACCCAGCACCCCACCTGCGCCCTGCTCTCCCGGGTCAGGGGCTGGCCCCGCAGGTGTCCTCCCGGAGCCCTGTCCACTGTGGGGCTGAGCAGGGGTGTGGCGAGGGGCTCCCTGAGGAGAGGGGGGCCCTTGCTGAGCACGACTTTGCTCCCCCCCACTCGGCCCACGGGAGCCTCTGGATGCTCTCACAGCCGCGGGGGCAGCCACAGAGCCTGCTCGTGGGCCCGACCCATCTAGCAGACCCACAGCAGGAGACCGGGTCTGCAGCTGTCACAGGAGATGGTGCTGGCCTGGGTGGGGGTCCTGGGCAGGGTCCTGGGTGGGGGTGGGGTGGATGAGGGGGACCAGAGGATGGGGGGCTGGCGGGGAGGGAGGCCCTGCAGCCCTGGGCAGGGGTGGGGACAGGCCCCCGGAGTGGGGCCTGTGGAGTCAGCAGAGTGGACTGCCTCCCACTCACCCAGTGTTGGGCTTGAAGGAGCAAGCATCGCCTTGTAACGGAAACGAGGTGAGGAGCAAAATGAAAACCACGACAGGAGCTCACTGTCCAGGGTGACCCGGCGGGTCCTGGCGCCCTGTCTCGGCAGGGGCCCAGGGTGGACACACAGTCGTGGGCGCGTCTGGACAGGGCCCGCTGCAAGCAGAGTGCGACCCAGAGCCACAGGGCACCTGCCCGCGGCCAGCGCCGGCGCTGTCCCTGGCACCCGCGTCTGTGCGAGCTTCGCCCTCCGGAACACGCCGGGGCCGTCTGGAGGCTGATCGGGGGCCCCGGTGGGGGGCCGACCCCCGAGTGCTGTCCCTGGGGCTGCGTGTGCACCCGACCCCACTCCACAGAGAACCACGGGCGGGCGCACCGGGAGGGGCCGAGCACCGGTCGGCCCAAGGGCAGGGCCGAAGGTCCCCTGCGTGGGTTCCCGGGGAGTGCGTGTGCACGCGCAGCACACGGAACACACACGCTGGGAAGAACACGCCTGGCCAGGCGCTTCCAGCCCGCGGCCCTTTCTGGGGCTGGAGCCGGCGTGGGACGCGCACACCCGCTGTGACATTCCGAACGACAGGCTTTGCTCACGTGTCCCCTCGCCCATGGGCCGGCCGGCCGCACGCTGTGCCCATGTGGGGCGCGCACAGGGGCGCCCGGGCCCGAGGGGCTCCCCGGGGCTGCTCAGCAGGAGCACCGCCTGGAGTGCAGGGCACCTGCCTCCCTGCGACTAGCCCGACCCAGACGAGGTGACGCACTCGGTGTCTGACACGTGTTAGGTAAGTGTGACAGAAAGGAGTCTAGTTCACCCATGACCTCCTTTTCGTGCACTGGACTCCCGGCCAGTGGGGGGAGGGGCGCGCGGCCTCCCCGGCCAGCGCATCTCACCTGCCTGGCACGGGGGAGCCCGGGCGAAACCACAGTGTCGCCTGTGAGTCACGGGCACCGTGCGACAGGCCGTCTGGCGGCAGAGCAGCAGGACCCAGGGCAACCTGAGCCGCCGGCCGTGCCCCTCGGGCTTCGTGTGCAGGCCTCTGTCCCCGGCTCCGCGGGCTGCAGACCCCTCAGCCTGCCCGCGCGGGTCAGAGTGCCCTGGCCGGCGGCGTCCCCCCCCCCCCCGCCCCCAGCACAAACGCCCACGGCAAGGGGAGGTCTCAGACGCCAGGAGAGCGGCGTGTCAAGCACCCCACACGCACGCCGCCGTGGAGAGCCAGGAAAACGCTTTATTCGGCTGCACTGCTGAGTCTCGGCGTCCGTCCGCAGCCTCCCCTGGGCGTGCCGCCGCGCTGGCGCTGGTGGGAGCACGCGGCAGGCGGCCGGCGGCAGCAGCAGGTCACCTCCCGAGTGCGAGCCCCCCGGGGCCAGCGGACCCTGCGCAGGCACAGGCACAGGCACACTGGCCGCGGGAGCACCACCGGCGGCCGAGTATCGTCGGGCCGGGCGCTCACAGACCGCTCTCCGGGGCCCCCTGTGCGACCTGCCCGCGCGGGCACTTGCCTGACTGCCGTCTCTGCAGCAGCCCCGAGATGCTGATGGGCGGCCTGGGGGCCAGGGCCGGGGGGCTGCCGAGACCGGACGAGCCCCCTCCTCCTGCTCTGCCTGTGGCCTGGGCGCCGAGACTCTGGGACGACCCCTGGCAGGGGCTCTGCAGAGGCGAAACCCTAGGAGTAAATTCAACAGACGGAATCACCGACGCCTCACTCACACGACCGGCACAGGACCGCTCACACGGGGGGTGCCTTTTAGCTTCAAAGGCCAAGTCCCCACTACCTGCGGGGGGGGACACGTGCAGAGCTCAGGCTGAGCCTCCCCCGAGGGCCACCTGCAGGCCCTGCGGGGACGGTGGCCTGTCACCAGGCCCGGGGTCTGCTCGGGGGTCTCGGAGCCGCAGCCCCCAGGCCAACCCCGTCCCTGCCCTTGCAGGTAGCTTGGAGGGGAGCGGTACACAGACGTGCCGCTCCGCCCCCTGGCCTCCAGAGACGGCGTAGAGCGGCCTGCGGACCCCGAGCTGTGCCCGTGGAGGGACGCCGCAGCCACCACAGGGCTCCGACAGGCCTCACCGACAGGCAGAAGGGCAGCAGCTGGAGTTCCGCGTCGGCTTCAAAGCAGCGGACTGCAAAGCGGCCTGCGCAGCGTCCTCTCAGAGTGCGAGGAAGCGGGAAGTGGGGGAAGGGCCGCAGCCAGGGGCGTTGAGGGAGGGGTTTTATCCCCGCTCCCCTCCCCCTTCCTCCCTCCCCTTGACGGGGCCAGGCTGTACCTGAGAGCCGGTGACACGCTGGGGCGACCTGGCGTCAGGCTGAGCGGCAGAGGGCCGGGGCAGAAGACGCTGCCTGTGGGGGTGGGGGTGGGGGACAGGGGACAGGGGACAGGGGGGCAGGGCAGGGGCGGGGCAGGGGGGCAGAGGCTGCCTGAGCTCCGCGGTCCCTGCCCATCCTGCCCGAGCCGAGCCCACCCGGCGGGAGCACCGTCTGCCCGCACGGCGGGGCCCAGGCCTCACACCCCAGCCTTCCCCTGTGTGCTCCCGGGACATTCACGCCTCCCGCCAGCGGGCAGCCCGACATGGGAGCCGGCACAGGGCTGCGCGGTCAGCTGAGGCTCAGGCCGCACTGGCCCTCGGGCCTCAGCCTCCACCGCCCGCAGCTGTCCGGGGGCAACAGCCCACACTCAGGAGGCGCTCAGCACCCGTCAAGGCCTGCGCTCAGAGGCTCCCCGCTCTGAGGAGGGCGGGGACAGCGGGGACCACGTGGGGTCCGGGAGGCGGTGTCTCACTCGCGCTCCACAGGAATCGGTGGGTTAACTTCAGGTCAACAGAGATGGGGAGCGTGAGGCCTGGGCAGGTCAACAACTGTCAGGGTGGCGAGGGCAGCGCTCTGAGGGCCCTGTGGCCGCCATGCGGGCGTCGGCCCTTGGCTGGGGGACCCCACGGGTTCGGGCTGAGCCGGGGGGCACGCAGGGTCTGCGCGAGAGTAGTGACTCAGCCTGCGGCTGGCGGTGGGCGGCACGGAGGCGGAACGCCGCCCGAGCGCCTCCCAGGAGCTCAGGGCGTGATGGGGTGGCGTCCCCCAGGGCCAGGACGCTGAGAGCCTCAGCCTGGGGCTCTGCTCGGGGAGGCAGGGCCGCCGGCTGCATCTCGGAAAGACCCCCTGACCCGCTCCCACAGCAAACGTGGCCTCTGGGAGGGGAGCCCCATTACCCGGAGGGCGGGGACTCCGTCTCCCCGCAGCCCCTGGCGTGTGGGCTGCTGCGCGTCACCTGCCCACAGGCAGGACGCCCAGGGCCGCTGTTCAGTGGGGAGGGTGACGGCCGGGCTCTCCCCATGGCAGGACCGGACGGACACAAGCAGACACTTCCCCGGGGGCCCGGCTGCAGGGGCCGACTCACCCATGCGCCCGTCCTGAGGGGGGCTGATCAGGGAGATCCTGGCCGGGCCGGCCACCAGCTCGGGCTGAGGACACAGAGAGGACACAGCGGGTGTCAGGGCACGGCGCCCTCCGCACCAGGAGCACAGGCCCGTCCGTGCCGCCGGTCCTGGAACGCAGCCCGTGGGGCGGGGAGTGCCCGCTGGGCACCCACAGCAGTGCATGGGCAAGGGACTCACTGGGCTCTTCTAAGAATTCCAGCACAGAGATAAAACAAACAGCGTTCTCGGCCAATGTCAGAAGTTTAAGACTCGTGAGTGAATCCTGATTTCCGGTGTAAAACTGTCTCCTGGACGCCGGGCGGCAGTGGCCAGGTGTGGGCTGGTGTGGGGTGTGTGGGGGCCAGGCTGGGCAGGGCCAGTGTCCTGGGCGCCCCCAGCCCTGGGATGGGAGTGACCGGCGGAGGCAGCTCCAGTCCCGCGGCCCCCCCTGCCCCGCGTGGGCCCGGCTGGGGTGTGGGCACACAGGTGCCACTCCTGGCCGCCATCTCCCCATCCCCACAGCCCATCCTGGCCTCCTTCCTGTGGCCCTGCACATGCCTGGCTCTGCCACCTGCCCAGACTCAGCCACCGCCACCTCAGTGGCTGTCCTCCCAGCTCCCGGCCCTGGTTCACCCAACCCAACGATTCTGAGCTCCACCAGCTCCGGGGCGGCCTCACTGCAGGGCGCCCTCTGCTGGCACCTCCTGGCCCTACCTCTGGCTCCCGGCCGCAGGCAAAGCCCTGACCTTGGGGGACCGAGATGTGTTCCCTGCCCCAGGCTCCCCCTGCGGCCACCCTGCGGCTCCCCCTGAGGCCCCGGGGTCCTCTCACGACGCCCACCTGCAGCCTGTCCTGCACGCCCTGCCCCGTGTGCCCGGTGCCGGCCAACCCCGAGCACCTGCGGCAGCCGGAGAAACCCGGCAGAGAGAAGTGTTTCCACGAGGTGAGGCCAGAGGCTACTCTGTCGGGTCAGAGTCCGCTCACCGCCTGCTCTCAGCCCGGCCTCCAACGGGAAGGGTTCGTGTTTGCAGGGTCAGACCCCGAGTCCTCTGCCTGGGGGAGAGCCCGGGAGCAGGTGAGGCGAAGCGGACTGAGAGCCCCGAGTGAGTGGGACAGCGGCCGTGGCCCGGGGCAGGACAGCCCAGCCAGCCGTGCGGGTCAGGGCCGGCGAGGGGCCAGGGGGTGCCAGGGTGCACGTGCGCCCGGACTGGGCCACGGGAGGGCCCCTTTTCTGGAGCACGTTTGGGGGTGTCTGTCTGGGCTGTACCCGGGAGTTGAAATGGGGCCGGCACAGGGGCCAGCCCACCATAGCCTGCACCCCACTTTTGTCCATGAAGCTTTACGGGGCGAGCTGCGCCCGCTGGCCTCCCCACCGTCAGGGGCGAGTTTCTGGGGCACAGGCCCTCGGGCCCCAAAGTCTCAGCTGCCGTCTCTCCCTGGGAAAACACTGCTGACCCCGGTCAGCGCCTCACTTGGGGAGTTAGAACAAACGGCTCCTTAAATGCTGGTCCCTCAGCTGCAGTGCCCACGGGGACACCCAGTCACATGCAAATCAGCTCAGCCTGTCCGCCCCTGACCTCTGCACCCAGGGAAACCCGGGGAAAGGCAGGCCGCACGTGGGCCGAGGCTGCGGCCCAGCCTGTGGGAAGCCTGGAGGTGGGGGGGCCCCTCAAGGGCTGCTGGTAGGGCTGGCAGGCAGGCGGGTGGGGTCTGGGGCGCGCCAGCGGAGGCAGACAGGAGTGCCGCCCTCTGGCAGGCCTGGAGGGCGAGGGGTGCGGGTGGCGGCTGGGCGTGGAGGCGGCACACTGGCCCGGCTGCTGAGGACCGAGCTGTCCCCTCCACTGGCTCCGTGCAGGGCCCCGTCCCCACCTCCTCCTCAGGCTCCTCCAGAGCCAGGTCCCCAGGGCCCCCGGAGTGAGCCCTGTCTCTCATTGGACGGCACCTCACCTGCCGCCGCCTCCTGCCTGCGAGCAGCAGGCCCCCGCCAGGCCCTGGAGCCGGGGGGCGAGTGCACCTGGGGAGAACGCACTTGGTCCGCTGTGGCCCTGCGCCCCACTCTGAGCGGCCTGCGTCCAGGACCGCACTCGGCCTGAGCTGGTCATGACAGGCTGGGCATGGCGGCCCCGCGTTCCGGGCCACACGTCCTCTGGTCTTGTTGTCTCGTGGGCAAGCCGTCCCCTCACATCACTGACCCCGCCCCCCGCAGGCTGTGGGGACGCATCCTGGACTCACTGGGCACCACGCCCACCGCTCAGGCTGCGGTGGGGGCACCGGGGCCGGCCTGGCCCCGCCTCCTGTGGCGGCCCCGCGGGGAGGGAATGGCCACCACGTGTGTCGACGCTGAGGAGCCCAGGGCCCTGGACAGCAGCAAACAGGTGACGCAGAGCGCAGACCACTCACCCTTCTCAGGGGGGTGGGCGTGAGGCCGACCTCCATGGGCTCCGCTCTGCGAACAGACGGCGGGACGTGCTCGCTGGGCCCGAGGCGTGCAGCAGCCGAGACACACGGGGCGCGCCGTGCCGCCGCCTCGCCCTTACACTCTCTCGGGGTGGCCCTCCGTGGCCACCGTCCGGCTCCTCCAGTCCTGCCTGACCTGACCTCCTGGGGCGCGGGCCCCGTCTCAGCGGCCTGTGCTAGCGCTTGCTGCCTGGCCCAGGCACTGCACACGGCCCGTGCGCAGGAGACGCCAGCTCCGTCACTGGCTGGCCCGGAGAACGACGGCGACGCGTCACCGGGGCTCCCCGCCCCCACCCCGGGGGGAAAAGGCTTGGGGGGAGGGAACCGACCGCTTCCTCACTTCCCGGCTGCACGCTCAGCGCTGGGGCCCGGCCACCAGCGGACACGGGGCTGGGGTGCCCCCGGGGCCTTCTGGGCTGCGCGTGGACCCAGCTCCCGGCATTCCAAGAAAAACGGGTGGGGGAGGGACACTCTGCAGGGAGCGGCAGCCGGGGGTGGGGCGGGGTCCCGGTGGGGCCCCCAGCAGGGTCACCCCCTCTTGTCCTGTCCCTGTGCTGACTTGCATCCGAGCTGCCCGGATGGGGGACAGGGCCCAGCCCGAGCCGCATGGCCACTCCGACACCAGCCACGAGGCCACGGGGACGGAGCTGTGACTGGCCCACACCCCTGACTGCCAAGGGAGAACTGGGGGGCAGTGCGCTCCTGGGGGCTGTGTTAGGGGCCACTCAGCTCCAGACTTTGGGGCCGTGGGGGGGTGAAGGGACAGCAGGAGGAACGGAAGCGTAGGATGTCCAAGGACGGGTACGACCTGTGAGTGTTGCCCGGCGACTGTCACGGACCACCGCCCTGCTCCGTGGGCACACACACCTTCCAGCCACGGCGCTGCCGGTGCGCAGGAGCAGCGGGGCGCCGGGAGTCGCTGACGGAGCTGCGACAGAGCACCGCATGTCAGCACGTGCGTGCCCCGGGCACCGTCCTGGGGCCTGCGCCCTGGCCGGCGTGCCGCCACTTACTTGAGACCGGATTCTGCGTCACGCTGAAAGCTGCGTGCTGGGACGGTCTCAGGCTGAACAGACGGAAAAAGGTCCTGAGTGACCCATACACGCGCACTCCCAGTCCACTCGTGCCCTCGCTCCGACGGGCAGGGCCGCACAGGGACAGTGTCTCGGCCCCGCACCGGGGGGACCCGCCCGCCGGGACGCACCTCCAGGAAGCAGCCCGAGGTGGCGACGGCTGGCAGACACGGGCCGAGCCGGGACCAGTGTCACCAGCTCCATCTGCGGCCCGCCCCAGGGGGCGCTGGGCGGGCCCCCCCCCCACGCCCCCAGCTGGACAGCAGCCCCTCAGGACCGTCGCTCTACGACCTTAGATGGACGTGCGCGGACTGGTGGACAGGCCGGTGGCCCGCGCGCACCTGCCAGAGCTGCTCCTCCCCAGCGGGGCGCTGCCTCTGCCCCCGCCCCACCCCGCCCCGGGAACCACCTCCTCTCCTCGCCGCCGCTCCTTCCCCGGCTGCTGCCGCCGCCTCTCTGGCAGAAGCTTCTGGGAAGGACGTGCCCTCTCTGGCCCCTGGTGAGGACCGCGGGCTCGGGGGCGGCGAGCGGACCCACCTCTGCAGCTGCTCCACGCGCAGCGCGGACTCCCTGAGGGACTCCTCCAGCCTGGCGATCTGACACAGCGCAGGGCCTCCGGTGACCAGCCTGGCCGCGCCAGGGCCCCGTGCGGAGACGGCACGCGGACCTGCCAATTCTCCCTGCCTGCGTCGGAGCGTGAGCCCCGTGGGAGCTGGCTGGGCGCCCGGGGCCGGGGGACAGACAGGGCTGGGCCGGGTGCAGCAGGCTGGACAGTTCTGCGGACACTGCCCACAGGGCCGGGGCTGGGGCTGGGGCTGGGCAGGGATTGGACTCCTCTGGCCCATCTCCGTGCAGACCCTTGCAGGGCCAGCCTGGGGCACACGAGGAAGGGAGACGGCAGGAAGCACCAAGCACGCGCCAGCCGACCGGGCCTCAGGGGCTGTGACACCCACACAGGGAGGTGGTGGGGGCCCCAGGACATACCAGGGGGCTTCCACACTCAAGGAGGTGGCCGCAGGACACGTGGCTTTGAAACCAGGCCCTTACCCTCGTTACTCTATGACCTTCAAAGGTGTTTTTTTTTTAATGTTTTATTTATTTTTAGAAAGGGGAAGGGAGGGAGAAAGAGAGGGAGAGAAACATCAGTGTGTGGTTGTCTCTCATGTGCCCCCTGCTGGGGACCCGGCCCGCAACCCAGGCACGTGCCCCGACTGGGAATCGAACTGTGAAACCTTTGGTTTGTAGGCCAGTGCTCAATCCACTGAGCCACACCAGCCGGGGCAAAGGTTTTTTTTCTTCAAAGACTTTTACGAAAACAAACACGATGGTGTGAACGATGGAACGGAGAAGGGTCTGAGCTGCTCTGCCGGCCCCAACATCACTCCCTGCCGGGTGCGGAGGGTCCTTGCCGTGTGGCCCGTGCACATGGCCCATGTCCCCGGGGTTGCAGCCCCAGGTACACCAGGCCCACCTTGCTCCTTGCCCTTTGCCCCCCCAGCCCCCGGCCAGTTGCTCCGGGCTCTCCCGCCGCCACCGCCCCCCAGTCTAGTGTCCACCGTCCCTGCAGGGGTCTCAGCCCGAGTCGGCCGAAGCGCCCACGGACGACCGCTCCCCCCGAAGCCCCCCTTTCCCTCATTCAGCGCAGACGCCGAGGAAGGAGGGTGTTTGTCAGGCAAACCAGCAGGCGTTTCCTGCGTCCCCTGTGAGGGTCTGCGGGGCTCTTGGGGCTGCTGTGCACGGAGAGCTCTCCCCCGGCGTCTGGGGGACGCCGTGACGTGGCGCACGGGCACCGCCAGCAGGCCGAGGGTCTGCAGGCTGACACCCTCCGGCCCCTCCCCCCGCCCTCTGCTCTGAGACGTGGCGGCGACAGGTCGGCGTCTGACAGGAAGCCAGACGGCCGTCGCGTGAGGGCGCGAGGGGACAGGCTTACCTTCTCCCTGTGGAAGGCCGCCAGTCTCCTCCTGTGTCTCTCCTGGAACTCTGAGACCTGGGAGGGGAGCACACGGCCCTTGCGGCTGACGGAGGCGCAGGGCGGCGCCGTGCACCCCCCGGACACGCCCTGCCCGCCCGCCTGCCCGGACACGGCGCCGCCCGTGCCCGCACACACCACGGGCCGGGCGCAGTCCTGGCGGGAATGCAGCCGGCGCGCTCGCACCCGGGGAGCGTGTGGCGCTGCAGGAGGCGGACACTCCAGGCGCCGCCGCCCTCCCGGGCGCCACGGCCCCGGGGGCCAACCGCAGTGCGCTGTCCCTTTGGCAACGCGACTGGATCGTCACGGCTTCCTGACCACACGGCACCGACGGGAAACCCCCGGACACTGCCACGCAGACCAGGGCCGGCAGGCAGGACGGGCCCAGGTGGAGGGGATGAGAGCTGCCCAGCGCCAGCCGCCGCACTGGGCTCCCGGCTGCGTCTCTGCTCTTCCCGCGAGCCCACCTCGCAGGAGTCACCGAGCTGCGCCGGCTGGCTCAGGGTGGGGGCAGTGGAGGTCTCAGACAAGGAGGTGAGAAGGCCCCTCCGCACCCCGGAGCAGGGCCAGCCCCCGTGGCCTCCCCCGCCGCCACGGCCACGGCCACCTCAGCGGACACGACTGTGTGGGAGCGGCTGGCAGCCCCTCACGGGCCCCAGCCCCCCAGGCTCCCGCATCTCCTGAGGAGTCCAGAGGGTCGGCGGATGCAGGGCCCAGGGCTGGCTCTGCACCCTTGAAGTCGCGGAGGACCCCACCGAGCTCAGCCTGGGTGGTCCCAGCCGTCCACGTGCACCCCACTAGAACGGAGTGCTGAGAGACGTTTAAGGCACCCGTCCCTTCAAAAGAACGATAATAAGCCCAGTGTGTTTGCATCAGCAGGGAGCTGCAGTCCCTCCTGCCCCGAGGCCTCTCTGGAAACGCCCTTCAGCACCGGGACCCGTGAGGACCAGGCAAGCACCCTGACCGGACAGCACCTCCTCTTAGCAGCAGCCTGGGACGGCACGGAAGGGAAGCGAACGGCACCGTCGAAGTGAAGACGGCGCAGGGGCAGGAAGCTCCCACCGACCCCACCCCGGGCCCCTGGGGCCTGCTCTCCGGGGCGAGGGGCCGGGCCCTGGGCCCTCAGAGCACCGGCTGCCGAGGCCGGTGTGCGCATGCACACTCACCTGGCTGGTCTCCTTGGAGTACTTCCTGCACAGGCTGTCCACGCCCATGAAGAGCGCCTGGATGCCCGAGTCCGTCTGGAAGAGAGCGAACGGCCGTCCCCTGTGCTGCCCGGGGCGCGCTCACGGCCACGAGTGCACAGCAAACCGCAGATCCAGAATGACCCGCGGGGGCGCGTGGGGCCGGTTCTCCCCTGACCCCTGCCCCGCACAGGGCTGCGGGATGAGGGCCGTGCCACCGCCTCCAAGGACAGCGGGGCAGCGTGCCCTGCAGCTGATGGAGCTCCCGGGGCCACATGTCCCCATCTGTCAGGCGGGGCCCGAGCCTGCTCGGAAGGGCTGCCACGACGGGAGAGGAGCCCCGGGTGAAGGCCCAGCTCAAGCACGAGGTGTCTGAGGAAAAGCAGGGCTTCCCACGCAGCGTCAGCCCTCTCCTAGACCCTGTGCGGACATGGCCGGCCCTGCCCCCGCCCCCACCGCCCCGGACCACAGCAGCACCCACAGCAACCGCCACCCTGGGGCACAGACACGGGCAGAGCTGCCCGGAACCAGGCACAGAACAGCGATGGACTCAGCCGGGCCCTGGGTACGGACCGCCCCACTCGGACGACGTCCCTCCCCCCGTGCTCCCTCCTCAGCCGGGTCTCTGCTTCACAACCACCAGCAAGACACAGGCATGAAAGTGGGAACCTGAGCCCTTCCACTTAAACTGCTCCCCAAATTCCTCTGAATGACAGTAAAACTGGGCTTAGGGAGGAAACTGGATCAAGGGGGAACTGGAAAGTGGCCCTGGAAGGCAGCGCCCCAGAGGGGCTCCTGGGGGACAGGCAGAGCGCTGCAGCAGGCCCAGCCCTCCGGGGGGGCCGGGCGAGGGGGCTCCAGGATCCACTTCCGAACCTTGGAGGGAGAGCACGCAGGCCATCTGGACGGCAGGGTCCAGGACCCGGCCTCCGCACACCTCCAGCAGTGTGGACTGTGGACGGGGGCCGGGGGGCCAGGTCCCCGCGAGCCCTGCTGGGCACCAACTCAACCTGCCACCTGGCCCACCGCCGCACAGCTCAGAGCCTGCTGCTCCCGGTGGGCAAGAGGCGGAGGCAGCGCCTCCCCGAGGGCCGGGGAGCCCAGAGCACAGGACACGGGAGAGCGCCCCCACAGAGTGGGGCTGGCCTGGGAGGCAGCAAAGGTTCCGCACGGGCTGCCCCTCCCACAGACACCTGAACCAGGACGAGTGGCCCCACTGCAGAAGGGAAGCCACTGGGAACGCCGCCCCTGGTGAAGCGAGACCCACAGCCTCTGTGAGGGCAGTCATTCTGCACGGGAGAGACCCCGGTGGACAGAGACGGGAGCCCTCGCTCTGCGTGGACAGAGGCCCTGGGTAGGACTGGGAGTATCCGAAGCAGAGTGGCCAAGGGCCTCCACCCCAGTAACTGAGCCCCTGGGTAGGCTGTGGAGTCTCCCTGCAGCTCAGTGGGGCACTCACTACGGGGCAGACAGGCCGTGAAGAGCCAGGGGGAAGCAGGGAGCAACGCTACCCGAGTGAGACAGCCAGCATGAGCCCCAGCGGGAGACTTCCACCCCCCGTGGAACCCTGCCTCGCAGTGAGGGCCAATGAGGGCGCACAGAGGCGTCTGGGGGACGGCCACCGGCAGACCTCACTGGAGGATGAGACAAAAGGAGCTCCCCGGGGCTGAACGTGACCCTCGGGGCGGCAGGGAGACAGGGGACAGGTGAAAAGCAGAGGAAATGGGACTGTGGGAACCGAGGCAAGAATGTCGGTGCGGTTTCCTTTCTGTTCGGAGAGAGGGAGACGCAAGCACAGCACTGGGAGTGGGCGGGCGGGCGGCGGGGTGGGGTGTGGGGGTGGAGTCAAAGCACTGGAGGTGGGGAGGGGTGGGGCCGCAAAGGCAAGGCGAGCCCGGGGCTGCGGCCACGAGAGCCACCTCGCACCCGAGCTTCCTGGAGCTGAGTTGCTGCCTGAGTTCAGATCGTGGAGAACTCGCTGAGTTACACACGTTTTATTTGTGCGTTTCCTGCATTATACTTCAATAAAAGTTAGCGACATTGATCATTAAAATCCCCAAATGTTTCTAAGTCAGTCGACGTACACATGGGCTGCAGGACTGACCGAGAAGAAGTTGGAAATCACTGTGAAGCGAAGACAAGGAGAACGCACCGCAGGCGAGGGAGAGCACGGAGGGAGAGCAACGCCCGCCCATGACGCCGACTCGAGGAAGGAAAGGTCGGCCGCGGACACCGAGGGCCCGTCTTAGAGAACCACCTGAACCAAAGGGAAACAGAAGGCAAAGGGGCAGGGAGAACTCACAGAACAGAGAGGAACAGTGAGATAAAGGTAAACAGAGCCAAAGTCAGCTCTTTGAAACTACTGACGGAAGTCCACAAACACTCGCCCTGCCCGTCGCGGCTCAGCAGGTTGGTACTGCCCTGCAAGTGGAGAGATCGCCGGTTCGATTCCCAGCCGGGCCACACACCTGGCTGTGGGCCAGGTCGCTGGTTGGGGGTTTGTGAGAGGCAGCGATGAATGTATCTCTCCCTCCCTTACCCTCTCTCTAAGAATACATGAAGAACGTATTTTTAAAAAGTCAATAAACGCCCTGGCTGGCGTAGCTCAGTGGATTGAGCGCGGGCTGCGAACCAAAGCATCGCAGGTTCGATTCCCAGTCAGGGCACATGCCTGGGTTGCAGGCCACGGCCCCCAGCAACCGCACATTCCTGTTTCTCTCTCTCTCTCTCTCTCCCCCTTCCCTCTCTAAAAATAAATAAATAAAATCTTTTTAAAAAGTCAATAAACACTTGACAAGACTGTTCAAGAAAAAAGAGAGAGAAGGCACAATAACCACTAGAAAAACGAACTTCGTACAGATCTCACCGACACTGAGAACAACGGGGACGTCCGAAAATCCAGACAAAGGGCACAAATTCCTAGAAAACATGGCCTCCGTAGGCTGGCCGGGCAAGAACGAGGAACACCGGGCAGTCGCAAATCTCCCGGAGAAATTAAACCCCTTGCTGAATACCTTCCCACCACAACCCTTCTAGGTCCAGCCGGTGTCACCTGTGAGTTCCACCACACGTTCTGCGAATGACCCCCGCCTCCCGGGGCGGGGATGAGGCCCACACCGCCCCCGAAGAGAGGGGCCCACAGCCCGGTCCCACGCGGGCTCCGGCCAAAACCTGTAGCTCAGCTGGACACGCGCTGGGCCGCCTCACCCCGCTCGGGTTCACTCCTGGAAACGAGAGTGGGCTTAGAATTCTGAAGACGGATGCGATTCACCACATTCGCAAAACAAAGGAGAAAGTCGGACGATCATCTCACCAGCGACAGAAAAGCCACTTGATGGGGTCCAGCGCCACTCCCGACACACAGCCCGCAGTCAAAACCCTGCAGCGCACACCACACCCCCCTGGGAACCCCGCCACCAGCCCGGAGATCGTGGCCGCCGTCCCTGCGCCACACGGTGCCCGCGTCCGGGCCGCGCAGCAGCAGAGAGAGAGGCGATCGTTCCGAGCCCAGGCGCCCGTGCGGAGTCTGGAAAAACCCACGGCCCAGCCAACAGAGTCACCGGGCGAACTTAGCGAGGCCGCCGCCCAAGTCGCGGGCGGAAGCCAGTCGCATCTCTCACACCCGCGACGGGCACTGGGGAGGGGAAGTGAAACTCCCTGCGGCAGCAGCCCAGACTGTCACCCGGGCACCGCCTCAGTCCCCGAGGCCGGGGCACACCCCAGTAAGTGGGGGCGTGAGCCAGGCTCACACAGACACCAACCTGACCCGAACTGCTGATTTTCCGCGTGGGAGCGGACCGTGATCGCGAAGCCGGTGCGGCGCGCCCAGGCTAACGGGCGCTCTCTGCTGCGGCAGCTCCCCAGCCTCGGGGGCCCGAGGGGGCGTTTGTCTTGCCGGCGCTCAGGGGCGGCCTCCCAGGGGATCCAGCCTGCGGCCAGCAGCTCTGCTGGGGTGGGTCCTCAGCACCCAGCTGGTGGAGGGGAGCGGGGCTGAAGGCTGTCTGGGAGGCTGTGCTGGGGGCCAGGCCTGGGCTGGCCTTTCTCGTGGGAGGCCGGTGGGGACACTGTGAGCTGGGTGCCCAGGAGGAGAGGGAGGGGGACTGAAGACAGCCCCCCACCTGGGCCTGCCATCCCTAGTTGCTGGTGTCCACTTGTCTCTTCCACTGCACAGAAAAGCCACCCTCCACCCGTGGAACATCCCAAATGCCCCTGTCACTGCGTCCACACCACAGCCCAGGGCCTTGGGTGGTCCTCTCTCTTACACCCATGAACGCAGCCAGCCCCCACCATGACCAGAGTCTACCGGAGCGGCGGGGTCGCAACCCTGGCAGCACGAGCACAGGTGGGAGGGTGCAGCAGTCAGGAGGACCCTGCAAGCTGGTGTCCTGGGACTCCCGCCCCGGGCCGTCTTGATTAGGCTGGCCTTTGCCATCCAGGGGAACCTTCTGGCCCACCCCCCTCCCGCCCCCGGTTCTGCCCGCTGGTTCTTCCTTGTCTGTGGCTCCCCAAGGCCATAGGTGAAGTGGGTGTGAGAAAGTGTATCCGGGTCACCCCCAGACCTTCTCAGAGGTCACCTTTGTCCAGAAGCACCCGGCTCCTCCTCCTGTGGGCACCTCCCCCCTCACCGCAGCCATCCTACCCGCCTGTGTCTGTGGAGAGCCAGCCAGTCCTGGCCTGGGCGGCACCCTCTGCCTGCCCAGCACCTGCACAGGAGGCTCGTCCCAGCCCCCAGGCTCCCGCCACAACTGTCCTGTTCCCTTGCCACCCGCCACCTGACAGGTGAGGTGGTGTGACACTTTGTAATGATGCACAGATCAACAAACACATGTATGTCACACGGTGGCTATGCTGTGCAGCAACAGGAGTGGGTGCAGGCAGCGGAAGCAGTAGAAGGGCACTTCCCAAGCACGACCTGGGAGACCGGCTTAGCCTGTCACAAGGTGCTTTGTTTCAGTGAAGGAAAACCACTCAGGATAAGAGCTGCCAGGGGTGCTGAGTTTAGCAAGGGTTGTTAAGTGTTGTTTTGTGAAACTTTCCTCATGCGTGTGCACACGCACATATGCACACACATGCAAATGCACACGCTGTGCCCAAAGGCTGAAGCAGCCACTGCCACACAGAACCAGGGCAGAGATGAGGGCCTGGCTCCAGGTGCAGCGACGGGCCCGAGTTGCTGGCTTGGGGCCAGGCATCCACCAGAGGCCAGGCCACAGCCGTGGGCAGGGCAGGCCCGAGTTTTACTCCTGGAAAGCTGGGACCTGTGACCTGTGTTTGCGCAGATTCCTCGGGCTGCAGGTGTCCCATTCTAGAAATTCATGCTACGTAAGTATTCTGACAAGTATGCAGTGATACTGTTTAAAAATGTTCACTGTAAGGTTGTTTGAAATAGTGTAAAACTGAAAAAAAAAAAAACCCAAAAAAACCAACAACCCCAAAGGTTTACCAGACAGAAACATCGAAAGGCCATGCAGTCATCTGTAGAGAGTGTGGCTGTGCCCCTAAATATGTCCACCGAGAAGACACCATTTTTGTGAGAAGACAAATCACAGCAGCCACGCAGAGCAGGGGCTCCACTCCCAGCTGCTGTCTTTGGGAAACAGCATGGGGGGACTTCCACACCCTCCACCGGGAGCCTCTGTATTCTCTGCATGACGTGTACCTTTGTTCTATATTTGTAATCAGGAAAAGCAATTGTTAGAGATTAAAACGTCTGATCAAATACACGTCTCGGAGCCTAAGTGTAACGAGAACAATTATTTGTAACCAAATTTAAATCAAACAGGTTAAACTGATGTACTTTATAGAAAGAACAAAAGGCACTCTTTTAAGCTATTGCAATAGCAATCAACTCTAAACCTACTTTTCTCTGACCCTCTTAACTGGGAAGACCCTGAACTCTATCACCTTCTTAAGGAGCTTGTATTGTACTGAAGAAATCTATTCAACACAGTTTCATTTTCAGGAACATGGGCAGCAAACTTACAGGTAAGCCAATCTACAGTTAAAAAAGTTGCATGAGGTATTCGAAACCAAATTCTAATTGTACTTTCACTACTCAGAAATCCTGTGAGCTCTTCCAGTTAACCTAACAAAATGAAAGAAACTTTTAGATACCACAAATGTCCAAAAATTGAGTCTCAAATTTAAAAAGAAACACTGTGATCAATATTCAGATGCTACAGACTTCAACTTACATCTTTTGAAAGCAAAACTGTACGGCAAGGAACTTTACAAATCAAGCATTCATCCTTTTTACCTAAAAAAAGAAAAACACATGTTATGTTATTGTGAGGAGTGCTTTTAGATGTGTAAATACAGACTTTGGATTGTAGCAATTCTTCAAAAATATACCGGATGACAGCACCTTCAAACAGTGGCGGAGACCGTGGGTATGGATAGAGTTGAAACGACTCATACTGTAATTCCTTTTAGGATTCATACTAAAATTCTTTTTTTTTTCCTGTTTTGCAAATATGCCCCCAAACAGTGACCATAATCAGTAATACTTAGGCTTGTCTATCCCAGATATTTCTTGTACTCAATTTTATGCCAGTATCTTAGTTTGCGAATAGCTCCTCCCGCCCCACCTAACAGGCAAAATAAGTCTTGCTCTACGCTCTCGGCCTCACTTCTGCAACACCAGGGGCAGCTCGCACCGGCTCTCTGGATTCGTGTTTCCTAGGCATGCACTGAGCTCCTGCTACCTGTACGGCAGCCCCTAAAGGTGAGAGGTTCGTGTGCCCCACCTGCTGGCGGCAGGCTCACGCTCCGCCCTCCTCCGGTCTTTGCCCCAAATCCAGGGACCCTAGCACCTATTGCGCCCTGCCCCCCCGCCCCGAAATGCCGGCTCCCCCTGCACGTGGCCGGCGCTAACATCAGCCTGCACCTCCTCGCCTGCGTGTGCAGCCGGAGCGCGGGTGTCCTAGGCCACGCGGGGCCCAGCGCGGCCAGCCGGCCCGAGGTCCCGCCCCGCCCCACCTCCCCCGCCAGCTCTGCTTCCTCACCCAAGGCGCGGCAGCCCTGCGTCCCTTGTCGCCAGGGCTGCACACCCGGCACAAATCCAGCCGCCGCTGTCCCCTGTCCTGGTCCCCACGCCGAGAGACCTAGGCCATCGCCCGGCTGAGACGCGGATCCCCAGGCCCTCGGCGCTGCAGCCGTGCGGGCACGCCCCATTCTTGCTGGGTGTCCCCTCATTCCTCCCTCAGGGTTCGTGCAGACCGAGCAGGGAGGGGCCCCAGCTGTGGCCGGTCTCAGCGTCCCGGCCCGTCCGCGTCCTCTCCGTCCTCGGGCACGGCCCGCTCGCCACCCCCAGACCCCCGGCGCCCCGCCCACCTCTGCTCAGGCACCCGTCGCAGTACACGTGGCCGCAGCTGGTCAGGCTGAAGCGCGCGGTCCGCGAGGGCGGCTGGAAACAGCGATTGCAGAACACCCAGCTGGCCATGCCGCGCGCCGGCCGCTCTCCCTCGAGGCCCACAGGGTCCCCGCAGCGTCCGCCCCGGGGCGCGAGTCTGCGCCTGCGCACGTGGGGGCGCCGCCCTGCGCCTGCGCACCAGAGCGCAGGCAGCTCCCGCCAAAACCGGGCGCAGACGGTGCCCGCGGGCGAACGCGCGGCGTGAGGCCGCGGTGTCCCCACGGGCGGCTTCGGCTGCCCGTCTGAGGGGAGGAACACGCACCGAGGGCCTGCCACCCTCGTCCCATCGCCGCGGGCCCGGCGACTCTCCGGCGGGACAGCGCGCCGCGGTCCGGGTCGCGGAGACGGTGTCCCCTCAGACGCGGGCCCGGGAGGCGGCCGCGAGTCAGGTGAGGCTGCGCCCGCCGGGAGCGGGGCGCGCTGGCCTGGGTGTCCGCCCGCCCGGGACTGCGGGCGGCCCGGCGGGCCGGGAGGGGCACCGGGTGCCCGGTGGGGAGCCGGGGTCGGCGGCCCGGCCTGAGGGGCAGGTGGGCGGCCGCGCGGGGCCGCCTCCTCCGACGCGCTCGTGGGCGGGCTCGGGTCCGCCCTGTGTCCGCGCGGCCTCGGGACACCGGGGAGGCGGCGGCGCCCCTTCCCGCGCCCCACGCGCGCCCGCCGGGCCCGCGGCGCCTCCCGGAAGCGCGGGAAGCGGAGGCGCCGGGCGTCCGTGCGAGGCGACCCCCGCGGCCGCTGCCGACTCCGCGCCGACCGCGCGTGAGAGCGGCCGCGTGTGCGCCGCGAGGGTTAGTGTGTGTCGCTCGGCCGAGGTCGCCGCTTTCTGAGCCCCGTTCACGCGGCAACCGGAGAGCCTCGCCGCGCGCACGCGGCCGACACTGACTCCTGGGGGACGCGCCGGCCGCCCCCGAGGCCACGGCCGCCGTGAGACCCCACGCGTGGTCAGCGCCGCCTTCGGCGGGTGCAGCCTCCCGGCGGGTGCAGCCTCCCGGCGTGGGCTCGCGCTCCGAGGCCCCCGAGAGCCCAGCGCGCCCCCGGCTAGCGGGCGTGGACGGTTCCGTCCCCCCCCCCGCCCACCCCGAGACGCCGCCCGGCTTCCAGGCGGAGACCCGGGGCGGGAGCCGTCCGAGGCCGTGTGTTCAGGCGGATGGAAGGGCCCCCTTTTCCGACCTGCGGGCTCCGGGCGTGGGGTGAATCCCCCGCCCACCCTCGCAGGGCCACCCATGCCCACGCTCGCCCTGGGACCCCGCGGGCGCGTCTGTGCACGTGGTTCGGGTGTGGAAGGACACACACACTCACACACTCACACACACACACACACACACACGGGGAGAACGTGGGCGCCCCACAGTCAGGGGTCCCAGTGGGGAAGTTGTTTTTTCCGTCACCGCTACAGCACAAGGACATGGAACAGAACAGCGTCCTTCCACGATCTGCTGGAATACACCTTTATGAGCGCGCTTTCCTTTGTTAGCTCAGCCACTGTGCACATTAGCCGGCCGTCGTTTGTCCCCGTTGGTGTTTTAGACAAGCTTCTTGGCTATGAAGAAGTCTCCCAGGTGCTTCATTTGTAAGATTCCCACCGAGATGAAGATGAGCGTCTGGGCGAAAGCCCACCAGAGCACGTTGCTGTTGGTGTCCTCGCTGGTCGCTCGGAAGTGTTCCTCGCGGTCCTGCACGGAAGAGAGACGGGCAGGTTTGGTTTCTCAAAGCGAGAGTTTGAGGGGCGGTGCTGTGTGCATTCCAGGTGTCCCGCGTGTCCCAGTTAGCGTCTCACACCGAAGTCACCTCTGGCTTGCCAGGCACAGGCAGGGAGTAGGAATCAACCTTGTAAAACATTTCCGTGTTTGGGTCTAAACGTATCAGGTGTTTGGTCTGTTACCTCGTACGGTAGCCACTTTTGAGCAAAGTGAACATTGCCCCGTCGTGGTCAATTTTCACGGTTTGAATTCTTCTGTTACTTTGGCTAAGCACCGTGTCAAGCACCTGCCCTCACCTGGTTTTTCAGATAAGGAAGCTTCAGCCCAGAGGTGACCCAGGGTTAGTGAGTGGTGGAGCATGTTCGAGCCCACACGTGACCTCGGTCCACTGAGTGCAGTGACCCAGAACACACATAATGTCATGGGAACGAAACAGCGATTTGGAAAGTAAGCACACTGAGCCTCTTCGGATACGTGGGCTGTGTTTGGAAGCACTGATTTATTCGTTCCGTGAGCTCCCCCCCCAGCGGCGAACGGGCCGCGGCCTCCTGTCCTAGAGGAGCCTGCGGTCCGCGCAGAGTGCGGGGCTGCCCTCCTCCCACCCCCTGTGCCCACACCCAGCCCTCGTCTCTGGCTCAGAGAGAAAGACCGAGGAACAGGCAGATTATTCTTTTTCTTGGTTCAGGAACTTTGTCTGCAGAATTAGATTCCTGGCAGGAAGAGATAAAATGAGCTGAACAGGCAAACTGACCCTTTGATAGTTTTGTTCTTTGACTATTTGCTCAATTTGCTCAATTAGATGTTCAAGCTTGAAGCTAACTTCATTAACTTTGTCCTTGGCTTGAGCAATGGCAGCATCGAGGTCATGTTCTCCAACGCGAATGTCTAAGTGGATCCGCTGTGCAAACAGTGGAAAGGAGGAAATGTGTTTTTAAAACCGTTCCCCTTCTCCTTCGTTTTCCCTCTTTGTGTCCTCAGTTCCTCTCCCCTTCCTTTCCCCTTCACAAGAGCGGGCAGGCCCTGGTTTTCCATCTCCCTGTGCCCCTCACTGCCACTCTGGTCCTTCTCTTGCTCGGCAGTCTTCTTTGTAGTAATGTCCTAAATGGTAACCCCCAGAGATGAGGGTCCTCACACCTTCCTGAACGTCGGATTTACTATCAGGCAAGTGCGTTTGGTCCTGAGAATCTGATTACTCTCAGGAAACTTTCTTTACACACAGCTGAGTTTCTGATGCTAAAGTACAAATTCTCCTCGTTCATTCTCAGCACACTTAGAAAAGAGCCAATCACCATCTGCCGTGAGGAGTTTTACTTATTGGAATTCCATTATTAATTCACCCTCAGCCCTCACTTGTTTTCAAGCCTGAATAATCACAGCCCTTTTAACCTTCCCTCACAGTTCTTATTTTTCAAGCCCTTTAATCAACTTCGTGGCGCTCCTTTGAACCTCTTCCAAGCTCTCCAGCTCCCTCTTTGGTTGCTGTGCTGAGATCTGGGTGCAGGACTTGAATAACTTTCTAACCAGTCTGGGTGGCATGGCTCTGCATACCAATGTCACGCTTGAATAGTGCTGACACTGTGTTCATTAACAGGGACACGGAGGCGGGTACTTACCAGCTTACTCCCTCCAAATGACACAAGCCTCGTAGAATTAGATTCTAAGCAAATGATGTGTTCTCCAGGTGAATGTGAAGTAAAATGGAATGTTCCTTGTGGGCCATATAACTTTGACAACAACACCTAGGATGGAAGATTTCCATAGTTTGTTTGTTATTCTCTAGTTTCTGTTCTTAAAAATAAATCTCTCCTATATTTCTAGTAAAAATTATGCAATTCCTAAAGAAGAAATCAAATGGCCAATAAACGTGAAAAATATTCAGACTTGCTAGTAATAAAAAAATATATACCTCAGTAGGATATCTCTTGTTTGTTACCAGGTCAGCAAAGATTTCAAAGTACCCAAGGATAGCATTCAGGAATACGATCTCCAAATACTATTTTGGGGGTGCATATGGAACAACCATTCTGTAGAGCAATTTGGCAGTATGTGTTGAAAATTAAAATGTACATAACCATTGACCAGCATTTCTACCTATAGATATTTATCCTATAGAAATATACAAGTAGATAAAGGTATATGTAAAAGGATATCCACTGTGATGTTATTTGTAATAGCAAAATTGCATTTTTTCAGTCATTAGATAAAGAAAATTGCATTTTTGAAATAACGTTAATACCTTTCAGTTAGGAGTAATTAAATTTAGGCAAAGCCAAATAAAGACACCTTATACAGCAATAAAAGAGAATATTATACCCATTTCTCTACTGAAGGTGTTCCTCATATCCTCTGGTAGAACATCTGTATAGGATCCTCTTTTTAAATAAGTATCATTTATAAAAGTATGGATGCACATGTTTCTGTATGTTTACAAGAAGATTCTAAAGAATATACATCAAACTGTTAGGTGGTTATATTTGTTGGGATTTTAAAAACAGGTAAAGGACTTCAAGTCTGGCATATAAGGAGTTCAGAAGTTGTCACTCTGTCCAAACAACAAATAAAAAGCTGTACAGAAAGAAATAACTTTTTCTTAGATCTGTCAGAGAATTGAGGTCACAAGGCACACTGCTGCCTCCAAATAAATACGCAGATACAAAGAACACAACTTATGAGAGAAGAAGCTCTGTGGGAACCAGTACTGGGCTCCTTTTACCAAGTACATTATGTCCAGCTCTTCAGAACAACAACAATTACAAGGCACACTATAAAGCAAGAAGACACGGTTTGAGGAGACAGAGCCAGCATCAGAATCAGATTCAGATATGCTCGGATATTGGAATTATTAGAGCAGGAATTTAGGAGAACTATGATTAACACACTGAAGGCTCTAATGGAAAAAGTAGACACAATTCTAGAACAGGTGGGCACTGTAAGCAGAGAGATGGAAATCCTAAGAAAGAATCAAAAAGAAATGCTGGAGGTAAAAATGCCATAGCAGATATGAATGCCTTTCATAGGCTCCTTGGTAAACTGGACATGGCTGGGGTAAGAATCTCTGAGCTTGAGGGTAGGTCAATGGAAACTTCCAAAACTGAAAAACAAAGAGAAAAAAGACTGAAAAAAAATGGGAAAGAATGTTTAAGAATCATGGGACAACTAGAGAAGGTATAATACATACACATACACACAAGTGGAATACCAGAAGGAAAAGAAAGAGGAACAGAAGAAAAATATTTATTTATTTTTAAGACTTTATGTATTTATTTTTAGAGAGAGAGGAAGGGAAGGAGAAAGAGGGAGAGATACATCAATCAGTTGCCTCTCACACATCCCTTA